GTAGTGGCCCAAGCATGGGGTGTAGTAGTCCAAGCATGGGGTGTAGTGGCCCAAGCATGGGGTGTATTGGCCCAAGCATGGGGTGTAGTAGCCCAAGCATGGGGTGTAGTGGCCCAAGCATGGGGTGTAGTGGCCCAAGCATGGGGTGTAGTGGCCCAAGCATGGGGTGTAGTGGCCCAAGCATGGGGTGGAGTAGTCCAAGCATGGGGTGTAGTGGCCCAAGCACGTGTAGAGTAGCCCAAGCATGGGGTGGAGTAGCCCAAGCATGGGGTGGAGTAGTCCAAGCATGGGGTGTAGTGGGCCAAGCATGTGTAGAGTAGCCCAAGCATGGGGTGTAGTAGCCCAAGCATGGGGTGGAGTAGCCCAAGCATGGGGTGGAGTAGCCCAAGCATGGGGTGGAGTAGTCCAAGCATGGGGTGTAGTGGCCCAAGCATGTGTAGAGTAGCCCAAGCATGGGGTGGAGTAGCCCAAGCATGGGGTGGAGTAGCCCAAGCATGGGGTGTAGTAGCCCAAGCATGGGGTGGAGTAGCCCAAGCATGGGGTGGAGTAGCCCAAGCATGGGGTGTAGTGGCCCAAGCATGGGGTGTAGTGGCCCAAGCATGGGGTGGAGTAGCCCAAGCATGGGGTGGAGTAGCCCAAGCATGGGGTGGAGTAGCCCAAGCATGGGGTGGAGTAGTCCAAGCATGGGGTGTAGTAGCCCAAGCATGGGGTGGAGTAGTCCAAGCATGGGGGTGGAGTAGTCCAAGCATGGGGTGTAGTAGCCCAAGCATGGGGTGGAGTAGCCCAAGCATGGGGTGGAGTAGCCCAAGCATGGGGGTGTAGTAGTCCAAGCATGGGGTGTAGTAGCCCAAGCATGGGGGTGTAGTAGCCCAAGCATGGGGTGGAGTAGCCCAAGCATGGGGTGGAGTAGTCCAAGCATGGGGTGTAGTAGCCCAAGCATGGGGTGAAGTAGTCCAAGCATGGGGTGGAGTAGCCCAAGCATGGGGTGTAGTAGTCCAAGCATGGGATGGAGTAGCCCAAGCATGGGGTGTAGTAGCCCAAGCATGGGGTGTAGTAGTCCAAGCATGGGGTGTAGTAGCCCAAGCATGGGGTGGAGTAGCCTAAGCATGGGGTGTAGTAGCCCAAGCATGGGGTGGAGTAGCCCAAGCATGGGGTGTAGTAGCCCAAGCATGGGGTGGAGTAGCCCAAGCATGGGGTGTAGTAGTCCAAGCATGGGGTGGAGTAGCCCAAGCATGGAGGTGTAGTAGTCCAAGCATGGGCTGTAGTAGCCCAAGCATGGGGGTGGAGTAGCCCAAGCATGGGGGTGTAGTAGTCCAAGCATGGGGTGTAGTAGTCCAAGCATGGGGTGTAGTAGTCCAAGCATGGGGTGGAGTAGCCCAAGCATGGGGGTGGAGTAGCCCAAGCATGGGGTGGAGTAGCCTAAGCATGGGGTGTAGTAGTCCAAGCATGGGGTGGAGTAGCCCAAGCATGGGGTGTAGTAGTCCAAGCATGGGGTGTAGTAGTCCAAGCATGGGGTGTAGTAGTCCAAGCATGGGGTGTAGTAGCCCAAGCATGGGGGTGTAGTAGCCCAAGCATGGGGGTGGAGTAGCCCAAGCATGGGGTAGAGTAGCCCAAGCATGGGGTGGAGTAGCCCAAGCATGGGGGTGGAGTAGCCCAAGCATGGGGGTGTAGTAGTCCAAGCATGGGGTGTAGTAGTCCAAGCATGGGGTGTAGTAGTCCAAGCATGGGGTGGAGTAGCCCAAGCATGGGGGTGGAGTAGTCCAAGCATGGGGTGTAGTAGTCCAAGCATGGGGTGTAGTAGCCCAAGCATGGGGTGTAGTAGCCCAAGCATGGGGTGGAGTAGCCCAAGCATGGGGTGTAGTAGTCCAAGCATGGGGTGGAGTAGCCCAAGCATGGGGTGTAGTAGCCCAAGCATGGGGTGGAGTAGCCCAAGCATGGGGTGTAGTAGTCCAAGCATGGGGTGGAGTAGCCCAAGCATGGGGGCGTAGTAGCCCAAGCATGGGGGTGTAGTAGTCCAAGCATGGGGTGGAGTAGCCCAAGCATGGGGTGTAGTAGCCCAAGCATGGGGTGGAGTAGCCCAAGCATGGGGTGTAGTAGTCCAAGCATGGGGTGGAGTAGCCCAAGCATGGGGTGTAGTAGCCCAAGCATGGGGTGGAGTAGCCCAAGCATGGGGTGTAGTAGTCCAAGCATGGGGTGGAGTAGCCCAAGCATGGGGTGTAGTAGTCCAAGCATGGGGTGTAGTAGTCCAAGCATGGGGTGTAGTAGCCCAAGCATGGGGGTGTAGTAGCCCAAGCATGGGGGTGGAGTAGCCCAAGCATGGGGTAGAGTAGCCCAAGCATGGGGTGGAGTAGCCCAAGCATGGGGGTGGAGTAGCCCAAGCATGGGGTGGAGTAGCCCAAGCATGGGGGTGGAGTAGCCCAAGCATGGGGTGGAGTAGCCCAAGCATGGGGGTGTAGTAGCTCAAGCATGGGGTAGAGTAGCCCAAGCATGGGGTGTAGTAGTCCAAGCATGGGGTGTAGTAGTCCAAGCATGGGGGTGGAGTAGCCCAAGCATGGGGGTGGAGTAGCCCAAGCATGGGGTGTAGTAGCCCAAGCATGGGGTGGAGTAGTCCAAGCATGGGGGTGTAGTGGCCCAAGCATGGGGGTGTAGTAGTCCAAGCATGGGGTGGAGTAGTCCAAGCATGGGGTGGAGTAGCCAAAGCATGGGATAGAGTAGCCCAAGCATGGGCTGGAGTAGCCCAAGCATGGGGTGGAGTAGCCCCAGCATGGGGTGGAGTAGCCCAAGCATGGGGTGGAGTAGCCCAAGCCTGAGTATGAGAGGGCTGGGGATAGAGTACCAAGCCAGAACAGGAACTGTAACTAAACTAACATTAAACGTCTAATTAAACAGAAATAAAGATGCAATTCTCGGTCTTGACGAATATCTCGCAGAAGAGAAAGGTCAGAGGTCATCTTGGGCGAGGGATTCGAACCCCGTTGGGACTTAATTACCCTAGTTAATTGAGATTAAGTGCGCGTTGAGCTCGTCTGCCGTTGTTAAACACACCCTTAATTGGTAATCTCGCGACCCCCCCCCCTTCAGTAACCGTTAGTTAAAAGCGTCTGAAAACGTTCAATGTAGCCACTACGTCTTTTTTTGGACGTGTCAACGTTGGCCTTCACCAGGTGAGCATAAACAAAGAGCCAAGATTTACCAAACACTTACGAAACCTGTGCATCTTTTCTCGATCATGGCGGCTTTGTTTACAATAATTAAACCGCTCACGAGGTTATGATGATACATATGGGACACTGGGAATGGAATGACACTGGACACATGAATGACACTGGGATGTGTCATCCCAGTGTCATTCACGAGGTGATTCAGTGATTCACGAGGATGATACATATACGACACTGTCGGCCAGTAGGCCCGACAGTGTCATTATGTATCCTCGGCCAAGATCACTAGGCCGAGAGTGTGTGGGTGTCTGGGGAATACTCAGGGCGTAGGTTTGAATCCTCATCACGGCTCCTACGGATTTTCTCATTGATACATTGCTCATTGCTGGGTCATTGTATCATCATACATCGCTCATTGCTGGGTCATTGTATCGTCATACATTGCTCATTGCTGGGTCATTGTATCACCATACATCGCTCATTGCTGGGTCATTGTATCACCATACATCGCTCATTGCTGGGTCATTGTATCACCATACATCGCTCATTGCTGGGTCATTGTATCACCATACATCGCTCATTGCTGGGTCATTGTATCACCATACATCGCTCATTGCTGGGTCATTGTATCGTCATACATTGCTCATTGCTGGGTCATTGTATCACCATACATCGCTCATTGCTGGGTCATTGTATCGTCATACATTGCTCATTGCTGGGTCATTGTATCACCATACATCGCTCATTGCTGGGTCATTGTATCGTCATACAGTGCTCATTGCTGGGTCATTGTATCACCATACATCGCTCATTGCTGGGTCATTGTATCGTCATACAGTGCTCATTGCTGGGTCATTGTATCACCATACATCGCTCATTGCTGGGTCATTGTATCGTCATACATTGCTCATTGCTGGGTCATTGTATCGTCATACAGTGCTCATTGCTGGGTCATTGTATCACCATACATTGTTCATTGCATCGAGCCTGGCCTCAGGCCGGGCTCGGGGAGCAGAAGAACTCACAGAACCCTCTACAGGTAAACTCCAGGTATTGCTACACGAATTATTATTGTATTTACTTGAAAATGTAAACCCCATTATTGCCTCTCACTGAATGATGTGGTTCGTGGTTCTTTATTTCCGGCTAAGAGGTTCGTGTTCTTTATTTCCGGCTAAGAGGTTCGTGTTCTTTATTTCCGGCTAAGAGGTTCGTGTTCTTTATTTCCGGCTAAGAACAATAAAGAACTTAGATCTACAAATAAAGAACATTTAATTTATAAGTCCAGCTCCCTGTGTTCAATATTGATGGCAATCAAGAACATATTAAGAACACCACCTTGGGGGGGGGGGAATTCTCTATTCTTACAAGGTTAAGCTCTGGCTCTTTGGTCCCGCCTCTCAACGTGTTCTTAATGCTTCATGCGACCTCTCAACCCCATACAGTGAAGCGGGTTGATTAATCAGATCTTCAATCATATCCATCCCTTGAGATGGACCCCCGTCAGGCAGTTCCCGCCAGCGTTCCCAACGTCAAGAAACGGTCGTACTAACGTGCCCTCTCCTAACCCACCTGAGGACCCACGTATAGAAAACGGGACGGTGTGTTACGCGAGTCGCTGCCATTTTCTATTACGATATGTTTTGGCCTTTAGGGAAAGTATACATGAAAATTCGACGGGGTATTACAAGGACAGGGTTGGGATCCCAGCTAGTGGACTGTCGAATACTTACGTCTATTGCCCTTCAAGGTACATCTATCGAAAGCTGCTCTATAAAATCAACTTGAGATCTAACATTAAAGATTGGCAAACTTAAGCGAGCAAAGTTATTGTCTTACCTGATCACTCGAGGGTGGTGGAGATCAGATCGCCGAGGCAGACGTCAGTCGTTCAGGAGACGGGGCGCTGAGGTGTTGGGAAAGAAAGATATATAGTGTGTGTGTTGGGGGGTGGTCGTCGCCCCCCACCACCACCACTACCGGGGAAGCCTTTGGTGTTCAGACTTCCGCTTCCCCCCCACACTAACACACGCGCGTGCACTGATACTCGCTAATACTTGCTGCACTAACTCACTCACTTTCCCAAAGGGATGATAAACATTTAATACACCGTCACGTCCTAGTAACACCTTGGAGAACAGTTCACCACGGCTACGACACACACCTCCAGTTACTGTTCAATCTGTGCTGGGGAGAACAATTGAACAAATCCCAATTACACAAGACGCAGCTAAAAATACAAGTATTAACTGGTTCAACAGGATATGGCGAGCAGGTAATAGCTTTACACACCCCCTTCAGCCGCCACTGTCACCTCTGTGGTGACGGAGGTGACGGCTGTCGGAGGGACGGGTGACGAAGGTGACGGGTGTCGGAGGGACGGGTGACGAAGGTGACGGGTGTCGGAGGGACGGGTGACGGAGGTGACGGGTGTCGGAGGGACGGGTGACGAAGGTGACGGGTGTCGGAGGGACGGGTGTCGGAGGGACGGGTGACGAAGGCCCGGCCGACGGAGAGGAACAGTGCCCGGGTAGCAGGCCGTGAACGGCTGGTGTTGTGAAGTACTCACCTAATTGTACTCACCTAATTGTGCTTGCGGGGGTTGAGCTTTGGCTCTTTGGTCCCGCCTCTCAACTGTCAATCAACTGGTAGAAGTGTCTCATCACCTCTACACCATAACATTCCTAAACGTGTAAACATTAAGAGTTTAGGAAAGTTAAATCATAACTAATGAACCAATGGCGCCCCCCCAAACCCATTAACCAACCTGCCACCCCCCCCCCCCCCCTCCCGAATAATCCAGGATTATACAAATTAGATAACTTTATAATTGGTAGGATTCATGATAGGTATAAATATAGTGTATTGATGAAGGAATATCCGGTTGATATCCTTTTATACTTAATTAATATCCACGTTATCATCTCACTTCCATTGATGCTGTAACGTGTGGTTGTCTAGAACTATTCTAGAACTAGAACTTTGTCTACCTTGTCCAGAACTAAGAACTATTGATCCTCTAACCAGGATTCGAACCCCCGCCGCCGACCAAGATCGCCCCTTTGGCGTAGAGACAACCATAACTATTAGACTAATGATGGTCAATGGTCTAATGGTTATGGTGCCGTGTACGCCAAGGGGAGTAATCTCTAGCTACGCAGGTTCGAGTCCTGGCCGGGTTACTGAGTTCTTAAGAGATGTATATATAATGTATATACACAGGCTTCCTGTCTCGACAATGGGAATTATATAAGACACACCTGTCTTATTATACGAAAATTAATTATAGGGAAAAATAGAATATATGAAAATTCTGGAGTCGTTTAATGGCTTCGAACACGCGTACGAAGGTTAGTACCAAATGTCAATGTACTCAACATAACTCAGTACTCAACATATACTAACACTAACATGTATTAAAAACCCTAATGAATACCCAATATAGCTTAATAATGGCATGTATTAATAACCCTTCTCATCAATAATCCCTAAGCAATACCCATCATAGGATATGTTGGGTATTGATTAGAGAACATGTCAGTATAAGTTGAGTACTGAGTAAGGTTATTAAGTCAAATAATAATATATTAATGTTATTATTATTATCTGCCTGGCAGGTGTTGAGTATGGCTCATTAACATGAGCCATACTCAACACATATCCAACAACTGGATAAGCACCTCCAAAGGATACCTGATCAACCAGGCTGTGACTCGTACGTCAGGCTGCGAGCAGCCGCGTCCAACAGCCTGGTTGATCAGTCCGGCAACCAGGAGGCCTGGTCGACGACCGGGCCGCGGGGACGCTAAGCCCCGGAAGCACCTCAAGGTAACCTCAAGGTAACCTCAAGGTAACATATGGTCTTCAGTTGTTTTACACAACTTTTCATCGTTTTATACAAAATCCTGACAATAAAAATAACAGTTTGAAGACTTGTTTACCCGAGACAGAATTCCTTTAAAAGTCCTGTTGGTTCAGGCCACGAGATGAAATTCTAGAGCGAAAGCTTCGGCGAGATTACCGTAGTTGTTTTTCCAAAGTATATTTGGTGTGGGGAAGGAGACCCGATCACACATTTTCCTTTTAAATGTTATTATAACCTTTTTTTCACGTTTTAACAACAACGTTTTGGTCACACAGAGATCACAATAGCGTGATGCATCAAATGAACAAAGCCACCAGGGCTGTGACGAGGGTTTGAACCTACGTCCGACAGCATCCCAGATGCTGCCTTAATCGACTGAGCTACGACATGGTCAATAGAAGTTGAAACCGAAGGTCTACTGAACTTACTGGATCCTGCAGCCTCTCCGAGACACAAACCAGGGTTTTACACAACTCCCCCCTGCACTCGAGCTATGTCAATACGCCGTTCTCCCTCTTCGCCCTTAATTCATTACACACAGAAATCACAATTGCGTGATGCATCAAATGAACAAATCCACCAGGGCCGTGAAGAGGATTCGAACCTGCGAACCTGCGAGAACGAGGATTCGAGAGGCTGCAGGATCCATTAAGTTCAATAGAACTTCGGTTTCAACTCCTTTTATCATGTCGTAGCTCAGCCGATTAAGGCAGCGTCTGGGATGATCTCGGATGTAGGTTCGAGTCCCCATCACGGCCCTTGTGGATTTGTTCTTTGATGCATCACGCTATTGTGATCTCTGTGTGTAATGAATTAAGGGCGAAGAGGGAGAACGGCCTATTGACATAGCTCGAGTGCAGGGGGGAGTTGTGTAAAACCCTGGTTTGTGTCTCGGAGAGGCTGCAGGATCCAGTAAGTTCAGTAGACCTTCGGTTTCAACTTCTATTGACCATGTCGTAGCTCAGTCGATTAAGGCAGCATCTGGGATGCTGTCGGACGTAGGTTCGAACCCTCGTCACAGCCCTGGTGGCTTTGTTCATTTGATGCATCACGCTATTGTGATCTCTGTGTGTAGTGTAAAGTTTGTCACGAGTTCTCATAAGAGCTTCCAATAGTCTAACACAAGAATGGCTGAAATACATATCCTAAAGTCATTACACACAGGAATCACAACAGCGTGATGCATCAGTGAATTCTGGTTTCAACTCTTTTGACCTTGTCGTAGTTCAGGCGATTAAGGCAGCGTCTGGGATGCTCTCGGACGCAGGTTCGAATCCTCGTCACGGCCCTTGTGGATCTGTTCGTGACAAACTTCCTGCTTCAGTGATACGCTGAAGCAATGTGACTGTCTTAGTCAACAGAGAAGGGAAATATATAGACGGGTATGAAGGGAATCTTTGGTGCAAGACGGCATGATCCGACGAACATCTGTTGTTGTTGTTTAAGATTCGCTACTTGGAACCAAAAGTTGCAAGTAGCACGGGCTATGGTGAGCCCGTAGTGGACTTAAGGACGAGCCTCCTTGGTTCCATCCTGCCTTGTCGCTGTCTACTCACTCCCCTTCCTTCTTCAGTGTGATTTACTGGCGTTTTCCTTGTGATGTGACTGAGCAGAAGACATATGGCTGTTTAACCTTGGATGCTAAATCATTTTCACGCTATTTTCTCTTCCTCTCTTCTTATTCCTGTAAATATTCCTGCCTCTCATGTTGTTGTTCTCTGTCTTCTCCAAGTCTGCTTCCTCGTCCCTTTTCCTCTGAGCATCTGTTACACCACTCTGACTGTTTTTGTACTTCTCACTGAGGTCTTAACTGGAGAAACATAGTTACACTCTGCTTGTTACAAATTGCTTCCTATGTATGAGAAACAATGGGCAGAGTTTCCTTCACCCTATGCCCCTGTTACCTAGCAGTAAAATAGGTACCTGGGTGTTAGTCAGCTGTCACGGGCTGCTTCCTGGGGGTGGAGCCCTGGTCGAGGACCGGGCCGCGGGAACACTAAAAGCCCCGAAATCATCTCAAGATAACCTCAAGATGTAACCCAATATTACCAGAGGGGATTTCTCACACACTTTCTAATGGTGACGACTTGATCACCATCGACTTGAGAATGGTCCAGGACGGAGCGAAACGTCTTCGTCTCTTCACTTTCTAGTGTGTGGTCTGGTCAACACTGTCTAATGGTGACGACTTGATCACCATCGACTTGAGAATGGTCCAGGACGGAGCGAAACGTCGTCGTCTCTTCACTTTCTAGTGTGTGGTCTGGTCAACACTTTCTAATGGTGTTCTAGGAATTCCTTGACTTCTGGTAATCCACACTGTAGTCGCTAGTCTCTTTGTTCATGTTCCATTCTTCTCCCTGTTTTATCTGACAAATTCATATCTTAGCAACTAGGTCACGCATTCTCAGAGGACCTTAATATTCCATCTTATTTATATCCATCCTTCCCTTACACAAGAAAGTTCCTCTCTGATGTCTCTATTAGTTTTGTTTTCCATGTTTCCTCCCCTTCTTGGGATTCAGTCTCCAGGTTTGTCTTAACATCTTGAGGTTATCTTGAGATGATTTCGGGGTTTTAGTGTCCCCGCGGCCCGGTCCTCGACCAGGCCTCCACCCCCAGGAAGCAGCCCGTGACAGCTGACTAACACCCAGGTACCTATTTTACTGCTAGGTAACAGGGGTATAGGGTGAAAGAAACTCTGCCCATTGTTTCTCGCCGGCGCCTGGGATCGAACCCAGGACCACAGGATCACAAGTCCAGTGTGCTGTCCGCTCGGCCGACCGGCTCCCATAGTTGAAGTCCTTAGTAGTTTGGTTCTTAACTCTATGACTGCTGCAGCCTCTTAAGAGACCAATCTTGGCTCAATTTGTGTCCTTAAATTATTGGCAGTATCTCCAGGTGTTATCTGGAGTGTTATAGATCAATGTTCACGTCTATAACTGCAATTATCTCCTAGCTATAAATAGTCCTTATCAACGTTGTTTCTAGATTATTATAGCTTAGTTCCCTCAATTTCTTTAAGAAGGACCTATTTATAATAGAAAATATAGTACTTACTAAACAAAAATTAGCAAAAAATGGGGAAAAATAAACAAGAAATGCAAAAAAATACAACAAATACACACTACAATATTCAAGAAATTAGAAAAACAAGAAACGAAAAATATAAATACAAAAAAAATCGTACCCAGTTAAAGACTAAATACATCAACTGGAACAAGGAAACATTATCAAGGAATAAAAGCCCTCCCCAATAATAAAAAAAAAAAATATGGCGAACCCTGAACCAGGCAGACACGTTTGGGCAGCCAGG